AAAGGTAAACACCATCTTATTTTTCTTTGCCCTAATCAACTCAGTGTGATAATCTAATCTCCTCAATCCATTATAAACTCCTAGAGGTCAAATTATAAAATGTATTAATAAACAAGAAAAGATAAGGCAAACGATGTGCATTTGCTATCATCAGCTAACAGTTCCACAGTAATTTTAAAATGCTATTTGTTCTTTCACTGCAAGTTGGAATCTGATAATACAATTGAGAGAATAAATATTACACTTACGAGACTAAAGAGAAAAACAGGTTCACATTTATCTCTAAAAGGCTGCAAAGTCACAATGTTGTCAGCTTCTGCCTGAAAAAAAAAAGTGTAAATATTTCATATAATAACAACAGAAACGATATCCAAGTCATCTGAGACACTTAATTCAAATGATGCAGAGATACACACAATTTTCAGGTTTACTGCAACATTTTCTGGGCGTATTAATAGTTATTTTAAGGATCAAATCGCACATACTGGTAATTCGAGCCCTGCATCCTTTGGCCTCCACCTAACCTCCCTGTTCCCCTTCATGGTACCCAACCTTCAGCCAAACTCGCCTGCCCTCCTTTTCCGCCCTCAGTGCCTGGTCTTGCCCTGACCAACCCGGCTCAAGTGTCCTTCTGCCAGCAAGTCTGTCTCAGCCCTCCTGCTGCCCACCATCTCTTGTTCCACTCAGCACTTTCCAACCCCTCCCAGGTCACCTATGTCCCCTTTCCATACCCTGCTATAGGCACACGTGGGCCTGTCACATCTATTAACACTTTGTTAGAAGGAGAGCTGTGTGCACAGATGGAGTATGTTTTGGATCCACATTTGTATCTCATCCCTCCCCTAGTGTGTCACAGGTCGAACATTAAAAGGAGCTTACTAAATGCTTCTTTTGAAGGAATTGGTAGTAAATTTTAAATTCTTTGATCTTCATGTCTGCAATCTTTTAAAAAATTTTTCATAAATTTCAAGTTGTCCTAATTTGATTATAAAATAACTATACACTAAACAATAGTGTCCTCTTTCACATTAACGCAGCATCCACTGGTCCAGTTGCCGGAATGAGATCATTTGGTAAGGTCTTCTGCAACAGTTAGTGTGCCAGTCAGTTCGGGCTGCTATACCAAATTGCCATTGACCAAGCGGCTTAACAAACATTTATTTCTCACAGTTCTGGAAGCTAGATGTCCCAGATCAGGCTACCAGCATAGACGGGTTTACAGTGAGGGCCTTCTTCCGGTTAGGT